CAGGCCAAACAACGTCTATGAGATTATAGGCAGTATTACTCAGCAATGCAAAAATTCTCATCAGAGAGCCTATGACATGTTGGCTAAATCGTTAATTCAACGCGCAATCTGGTTGAATGGCGATTATAGGCAAGTTTCATCATTTTATGGACTAATCACTCACAAAGTGCATTTACATGAACGCTAATCTAATTTGTTGTTAAAGCAAAGTTCAGATTTTGTATCGAGTAAAATCACAATGAGAAGGTTGCGATTTCAGCTGCTATTAATATAGGATATAAGGCGTTGCGAGGAGAAAACAGCAGTGTAGATATAGCAGTTCAAGGTACCAAGCAGCCTCATGTATCGCGCGAAGCGCACTATTATTGCTGTTATGATTAGTGGGGGTGAGGCAGTGCGCATCACGAGGCTTATCATCTTATTAGATTAGACACGATAATTTGGCAGATAAGTGAGGGAAATACTTCGAACCTCATTTGTTGAGTGGAGACTGTTAACGATTAGCGTGCAGCGCCGGTGCAACCTCCAATGCACTTATTGAAACGGAGTTAGAAAACTAATATGTATGAAGGGCATGGAAAATCGTTATTAAAGCATTGTGGTGGAAAATAATTCGCATTTCGATGTTCATGCTACAATCTGACGTAGAGTCATGAAGTTTTATAGTAGCGGTATTTATGATAATTGTAATCTACGCAGATGAATACAATGTTTTTGTGATTAATCGAATAGAAGTTTGAGTTCAAAAAACACGAATTTCACAGCGTAAAAATGAGATTAATTACTATGGCAAATAATTGCAGATGGTGGGAATGAGAGCGGGATTCATAACTCTTGCAAATTGATCAACAAGTACGATAAAGTGGGTAGAGTGAAGCGATATGAGATTCATTGGAAGAATGGAAGTCGTCAAGAAGACGACGTGGATGCTCAAAACAGCAACGATAGCAGCTAATTGATATTAATCGAGGCGATGATGGTCACTCACTACGCGGCGGACCTCGTCTCGCCTAATCGCACACTCTTTTCGCCGCCTTTTCCCCCCGTTGCTCCGCCCCTACTGCCAACATGAACGCCGCGGTTACTGTACTGTGGCCGATAAGACAACGAAAAAACT